GGGTTTTGACAGAACAAATTGAGAACCTGCAGAAAGAAAAGTAAAGATACATTGCAAATGTCGTGATAATAATACACATGCAACACTTTTTTGCATTTCATACAAATGTTTGCTCTGACTCACCCTTTTTACTGTTTTGTCTCCCTCTGCAGGGAAGAGCTGACATTTGAATTGTTGGCCCTGGAGCCGCGAGCATCAGATGATGAGACCCTGGAGTCGGAGGCTTCCATTGGAACAGCAGACAGCTGCGAAAACCTCAATGTTGATTCTGAGGGAACCATGTCCGACTTCTCCAGTAAGTAATGATTCAGAATAAATTCAAAGGGAATTTACAGTTTTTGAGTTTGGGATTGTGGTACGAGGGGAGTTCTATCTTGTCTTCCAATAAGAAGATGCTATGATAAAGGGACAAGTTGAACGTGATTGTTTTTCTCCTCCTCTTTCAAAGTTGACTAGTGGCTATTGTTAAAATGATCAGCCACAGTGCAGTCGGAATAACCATATTTTTTGTCATTTACATAAAACAAAGTACAATATTGATGTATCTGTATCTACAGGAATGATAATAGAGTGTGTGATGTTCTCTTTCTTTCCAATAGCAGAGAGAGGTCAAGTGGTGGCCTCCCCCCAGCCTCGCAGGTCTGACGGCAGGAGCCCCCGACGCCACATCCTCCATCGGCAGCCTGAATCTGTGGACTCCGTGGACTCTTTCTCCAGTGTTTCTTCTTATTCATCATCGTCCCACTACTACCCATCATTCTCAGCAAATACACAGCGCTTTCGTTTCCACTCCAAGTCGCCGCCGCAAGGTTCAGTGTCAGCGCAAGCTCCCGTCCTGACCGCTTTTCAATCCTTCCGATCTAATAGCTTAGACTGTAGCTCCACAGGGGATCACGAAAGTTTGTATGATGAAAGTCCCCAGTTCAGCAGTCGAGGCACCTTCAATCCAGAGAAGGGCAAACAGAAATTAAGAGGGGGCAGACATTCAAGACACCACAGGAACAGTGGTGGGCACAGCAGAGACCCTCCAGATATAACACAGCCAGTTGTAGTGTATGGTAACAATGAATTCATGGTATGAAGGACTCTGGGACATTATTACAATCACTATTTAACTTCACGGCAGGCACATTTATATATAAATATGTACCTAATGGGAGCTTTTCAACAGCTCTTGCTTTGCCCCCTGTGGAAGTCTGCAGTGACGACTCCCTAAGTGCTGTTCGTACTATTCATAGTGCTTCAATCTTCAGTTGGTGGAGACGTTTGCCAAGGACTGGAGTTGCTGGAATGTCTTCTCCTCTGTAGACCATACTGCCAGCAATGCTGTCACAGTGCCTCAGCAGATCTATAATCTGCACCAAAAGGAGACACACTGAACATGAGGACAGAGTAAAAGGGAATGTTGGACGCCCAGCATCAGGGAATGTTTACAGTTGTGAGGAAGTACCAGTGTAAAGGAAATATGATGAAACCATGAAACATCAGGTGTCCCAGAGGTTCCAGTGACCTTTAAGCTCTCCTATATTAGCTGCTTTATGAGTTTAAAGTTTACAAAAAGTTAAAGCAGTGGATGTTCAGTTATTACAGATTTTTTTTCCTTATTTAATACATTTTTATTGTCATAGAAATCCAATAATATACTGTACAGGTAAAAACCCACTACCAGCCTCTGTTGGGTTGGTAAGATATTTATCTTGTTTTTTTGGCAGAGGCATACAGATTAGGGCAGAAGATGGTTTACATGTTTGTATGTGTGTATTAGTATGCATGCATGTGCTGAGCGTTCATGAGTGACTGTATTTACAAATGAAACCACTTAATTTGTTTTAAGTTTGTGCTGCTTATTTCCTCTTGTTTATGGGAAATATTGCCATGAAAGGGACCAAGTCAGCTGGTGTTTTTCAGCCCAGGGGATCCCAGCCCTGTACAGAACGTTGGATGTATAATAAATCCACAGAAATCACTGCTTAACAGCCATAAAACATTAATGTAATGTACAGTACAAATCCTATGTACAGTATAGTGGAAATACAGTATGTTATTGTGTTCTTTAAAACTCATTGTTGTACCCCTGTTACCTACCCTTCCCTCACCTCTTGTCTCTGTAAAATGTTTGCTTAAATACACCAACAAGTCCATAAATTTATTAGTATATTCAGTCATTTTTTTCCAGGATGTTTGGAGGAATTTGTGTATAAACTGACCTTTTAATATACATCCTAATTCAGAGAAACCTGCATGAGACTCATGGTTGAGACTTTAACTTCCGGTATACTTCCGGGGCTTTAAGACATGAACTCTTAAACGTAACTTGGATTATGTTAATTGAAAAATACTGTGGCCTAGTTTTAGTCAGTTTTATTTATACTTGAATTTATAATTGCAATTCATATCTAAACTAGTTTAAAAGATATGTTTATAATTTTTGCGACGTTAGAGTAATTCATTAAGTAACAGGTGTTTTAACGAACTCGGACTCTGAAGAGGAAGTCTTCCTTTTCAGTAGCGCATGCGCATTGTTGCAATGTCACAGCAGCAACGCCGGGAGTGAGACCGAGGAGGAGCCGCCAACGCCACGGAGACCGCAGTCTTCTCTCGTTGTTAAGGTTCTTTTGCTGCGTATGATTTTGATCAATAATGTCGGAATTCGACAGCAATCCATTCGCCGATCCCGTGGACGTCAACCCCTTTCAGGTAGGTATCCTTTGGTTTTTAGTTTTTGGAAAGTTACTTTACCTTTCCGAGTCAAGTGAATAGAGAAAATGTTGCGTCCAAAACCAGTTTGGTTGGTTGCTGGCTTAGGTTTGGCCCAGTATTTCCTGATTTAACAAAACTCTGCATGTAGCAAGTATAACACGGTAGAAATCCACCTATAGTTATTTAAAAACATACATTGTCATTTTAACGAGTATGTGGGTTGTTACCTGATATGATAGTCATAGCCAGGGAACACTAACAGGTGTCTGCCCGTCAGGTAGACTTAAAAATAACCCGAGGGTCAATTTTAATTAGAAATTACAAAATAGAAACTGTTAGAGTATTAATTGGTTGATGGATTTTGGATGGAAATTAAAAATTGCATCCCACGACTCAGTGTTTGCATGTCAGTCCAGCAGGTCATGTGTTTAGGCAGGCGATCGTGTGTCTCGGACTCGCTAACAGTAGTTTCCATTATTAATTCATCCGCCCCTCATTTCGCTGTTCATTAATTAATTTAAAATTTCCCAGAAAATGTTTTTATTGAAATTTTATTATTTTCTAAACTTTAAAATACTAACCATTGATGCTTTCCAAAAATAAACCGAATAATAAGAGTCTCAGGAGAGTAAATTAAACATAAATGACATTTTAGAAAACGAAATCACAAATGTTTAGGTCATTGAAAACAAAAATACACTCTTCTTTAGTCCACGGTCTCACACATAGTCATTAATTAAAATGAAATGTACTGGTGCATAATTTAATAGTTGATAAATTATTTAGTGGTTAAATTCTTCTGATAATGTCATGTAAAAATGTAAATGTTTCTAAAAGAAAAACATTGTGTTGGAATAATAAACAAGAACTAACAAATTAAGATGTTATCTTGCTGAGAGTCAGTGCAATATTAGAAGTGTTCTTTCTGGACTGAATGGACTTTAATATAATGAACATTCCCAAATTTATGAATTAAAAAAAGAAAAAAGTTTGTGGTCATGGGTTTTACTTTGAATCTTATAAAACTTAATAGGATTTGTCGGTCTATTTTAGGATGCTTCGGTCACACAAGCTACCGCTCGGGCCCATCCCGTTAGTGGAGAATACAACCCATTCTCTTCTACTGAAATGGTAAGATTGAATAAGACCACCGTGGCTCAGACTTGTACGAAAATGAATGAGAAAAATGAACATTTACAACAAAGACAGTTTATCACTGAGGATGGATATGAAAAAGATAATTGTTTAACTTTTTACAGGGATCTCACTCTGGTACAACCATTCCTATATCTGAAGTCTCCTCACAACCAGCTATACTACAAACCTCAGTTGAGCACAGTGCAAAAGTAAGAGACACACTAACTCTGTCTTCTGTTGTTTTGTTCTTCACCGCTGGACCTATACTTCAGATCAGGAGTATACTGTCATTCGTCTCAAGGCTGGGTTTTAAAAAAAAAAAAAAAAATTAAAAAAAATAACTGTAAATGTGTTATGGTAAAACAAGCAAACACATTTTTAAAGATGAACATATGCAAACAATAATCATCAACCACTTTGTTGCAAATATGTCTTGTGAAGTTTGTGGATTTGTCATCACAGTACTACCTGCAGTAGTATTTATTTTTACTACAATGTTCAACCTGCATCTTATCACTTACCCACCCAGAATACTGCATCTGTTGCCCAGGCTGACCTGATCAAACAGCAGGAAGAACTGGAGAGAAAAGCAGCTGAGTTGGACCGAAAGGAAAAGGAGCTGCAGAATAGGAGCACAGGCAGAACCAACACTGGAGGTGAGTGTCTGTGGTTGAATAGAATTGTGTTTGTATTATCAAAGATTAAACATACTAACAGTGTAAATTGTGTATTAGCCAACGAGAACAATTGGCCGCCTCTGCCCAGTTTCTTCCCTGTGAAGCCCTGCTTTGATCAGAACTTTGAGGAGGACATACCAGAGGAGTATCGAAGGATCTGCAAGAGGATGTACTACCTCTGGATGTGTACGTACTCTGTACTGTAGCCCAAAATGCAGCCTTTTTTCAACAACATCCCAGAGCACCCTTATTCTATAATTTGTTTTAGAAAGTAGTTTTTAGAGTTGAAAACTGCACTGTGTGAGATGCTTCAATAAAAGGAGCTGAATATCAACATATTGAATTTTATGTAACAAAAAAAAGTTAAAATACAAATAAAGTTATAATACACTGGATTACAGTTGAACAGATATTGACAAATCTGATATTTTTGTTTCCAAAAGTTAATTCTGTTCAACTATTACCAACATTTGATAAGTTTTATATTTTTTTCAGGCATTTTTTGGCTGCATGATTAGTTTCTACAAACTAACAAAGTCTTTGGTGTCTGTCTAAACTTTGTGACTGTATTGGTCCAAATAACACTGTTTTGTTTCTCTGTCTCTCCTTAGTCCACAGTGCCACTCTCTTCCTGAACCTGCTGGCCTGTCTGGCTTATTTCACGGTAGACAATCAGTACGGTGTAGACTTTGGTCTGTCCATCCTCTGGTTCATCCTCTTCACTCCTGTGGCGTTTGTCTGCTGGTACAGACCTGTCTACAAAGCCTTCAGGTACACTATTGGTAGAGGTATTAAATCAAGGGTTTATTCATGACTTGTATGCTCAATTCTTATTTTAAGGGTATTATTTAATGCCAATATAATTTTACAAATGTCCCTAATGATATTATTCTCATCTCCCGCAGGTCTGACAGCTCCTTCAGTTTCTTTTTCTTCTTCTTTGTCTTCTTTTTTCAAGTGGCTGTGTACATCATTCAAACCGTCGGGATCCCCAGGTGGGGAAACAGGTGAGTGGAAACTGGTAGTGGTTAATCATCTGTGCTGTGCTGGTGTATGACTTAGAAACACATCTTTGCTTCAGCCTTTGTAGGCTTATTTGAGTCTGACAAGTGCAAACACCATACTTTCTATTTACTTAAAGTTTTAATTTTGAATATGGTATTTTTTTTTTTTTTTTTTTGCAGTGGATGGATCACAGCAATCAGCATGATTCGTGTAAATTTGGCTGTGGCCGTGGTCATGATGGTCGTCGCTGGCTTTTTCACTGTAAACGCTGTCCTGGCAGTCATTCTACTGAAAATGGTAAATATAAAGGTTGTTGTACTTTGTACAGCTTGATTTACTTTTTTTTTTTTTAAGAACTATCCACTTTGGTTAATACAATGTATTAAATGTAAATGTTGGTAATGGTTGCCACTGAAAAAAAAACATGCCTTTTGTTTTAACCTGCTATAAATAGAAAGCCAGGTGTGGTGTGGTGCAGACAAAGTGACTGACATTGTGGCTTCAGTTTATTTATTTACACTCACACTAATCTGAGCTTCACTTAAACTAAGATGACGCTGACGGTAGGAGTGTGAGTCTTTGCAGCCCACACAGAAAGCAGAAAAACATTAAGGCTGGCTTCCATGACAGGGCATTAAAATCCAGGGTTTTGCAAAATGCTGCAAGACAGAAATGAAAATCTAAAGGTTTATTTTCAAGACTTGTCAACGCCCAATGCCTGTTCTTCCAGGCAACACCTAAGAATATTTTTTTAAGTGTCTGACTCATAATCTCCATAAACGTGTCACTGCCTTTATCCCCTTCTCTTTTCCTATTTTCTTTAGGTCCATGCGAATTACAGAAGGTCGGCAAGCGTTTCCAGGGCCCTGCAGGAATTCTCCAGTGGTGTCCTGACCAATAGAACCGTCCAGACTGCTGCAACCGCAGCTGCCACCTCTGCTGCTCAGGGAAGCTTTGGCAGGAGTTAGGGAAACTAACCTATCTAAACTATCAGTTTTCCTCAGGGTTGTCTCCTCTTTCTGAATGTCACTACAGGAATGTGAGAAACAGGCCACAGCCCCACATTCTCCAGTGAGATTATGGATCAAGATTAGTTCACATAATGGAAATTAGTCTTTTTCTCCTCCAAGATTTGTAATGCGTTGATATAATTTAAAGACAGCTTGGGGAACAGTAAAGCCATAAAATACTATTGTTTTCTGGAAAATGTAGGAATTCAAAAAGTGAAGGCAGATTAAAGACAATATAATATGAAATAAAAGTAATATACGGCACATTGATACTACTATCAAATCAATACAATATATAAATCAAGTACAAAATACACCATGGAGTTGGGGTAGAAGTACAATTATTTGAACCCAGTTCCACGTAACAGTAGTTAACACTATCAGTTACAGAAGAAAAACAAAAAAAAGGCTTAGAATAAACAATGTATGTGAGGTTCAGGTTGTTAATATAGTGATAAGACATGAGAATGTTTGAATATCATTAAACGAAACATGGTCTTCATACAGTACAGTATGTGTACATACACAGGCTAAACAGTCTGTTACCACTGTCCTATTTAACAACAGGTTTTCTTTGCTTACTCCTAACTGGATGATTTTAAAATGAAAACATGTTACACTGCTGGTAAATATGGAATTTTATATTTTCATAAGATCAATGAAGGTGATGGGATGAAGGGGGGGGGGGTTCAGCTAACTAAAGTTAGACTACAGTTCTGCACAGCATAAATGAAGTAGTAGTTCTTTAACTGAAGGTAGAAACATTGTAGTTCATGTAAATGGAAGAGAGGGGGAAGGTAAAGTCACAGCATGAAGGTAGGATTAATTACTCCAAGAAGCACGTTTATGCATAATATGTGTATTTAGACTTTGTAGTATTTAGCTGCTAACCGTAGGTGGCATGTTACAAAACAGTCACATGCAGGTCGTGTCTGTTAACCTTTTTGTTTAATTATAACCTCAGAGCCTGGACACAAATGTTACCCACCATTTTTGTGGGAAGCCTAGTTGGCATCTTGTTGATTACTAGTGTTTTATCTGCCTCTTTTCTATGGTAATGTTTTTGCTGGATGTGTAATATTAAGGATTGTTGTAAATACTGGTGTCTTATTTAAGTCTAATTTACAAATATGGTATATGGAAAATACTTTCATTCTGTACCTGGAATTAAAAAAAAAACTTTCTTTTGAAATTATGACCAGTAATATTCGAGTCCACTACACACGTACGTATTTACACTGGCAGTACTAGTATTTTAGCAGTAGTACATTATGTCAATACACGTTGTTTACCTGTGTGTTTTTGTATAAACGTTTCAAGGAGTTGAAACACCGTTAAAGGTATATAATTATCTAATTTTTAGTCATTGATATGTTTAAATGAAACATTCAGCTATACTGATAACTACTCTACTGAAAACTCCTAAATATAGCGTAAAGGTAGTTTTAAGCTAATTATCTTGTATACAAAAATTCTAGGACTTTCCTCTGCTACGGAAGCCTAATTGGACTCATATTTTCTAACAAGAAATCGTAGAATCTTACAAATGTGTAAAGGAATTAAATTTACGTATTTCGCAAATTACTTTTTATTATTTTTACGTTTTGGTCCCACGTCCGTATCCATGGCAACAGCTTCTGTCGTTGTTCTTTTCAAGATGGCGGAGCAGGAGTCTTCATCCACAGCGGTGAGTGCTAACACACATAGTTGCTGTGTCTTTTCATGCAGTTAATTCAATTCATTACAAATATGTGGTAAAAGAAACACTAACGGACAGTAAATGAACTACCTCTAGTATTGAACTGAGCGCTTGAATTGCTTCTGTTTAGCATTAAACATTAGCTAGCCGCCATGCTAACACACTCTTGGAGGAGATTAGTTAATGATTACACAGAGCCTCTAATCTCCGATTCTGTCAAAAACTGCTCAGCTATTAATTGATAACGGATGTTCATTTTCTGACATCTGACAGATGTTAGCGTGTACAGTAAATCTGTCAATCACCGCGTCAACAAAACGTCATTGAGAGGATTATGGACCAGTCTTTAAATAACTAATCAACGGCTCTTTGCGTTAAGTGTTGTTAAAGTTCCCTCAGTTGTATCGATTTATTTTGTTTGACATTCTGTAATGTTCAAACAAAAACACGTTAGACGATATGCTCCTATAGATTTACTACAACAGACTATTGTTTTGTTTATATTTCACTAAATCCAATAAAAAATATCTTGTGACAGACTGTTAATCCAAGATTCACGTATCTAATGTTATGCTTTGGAACTGTACGTTGTATTCTGTTTTTATGTAATCGTTTTGTGTTTTTGTCATATTTCAGTTGCCTGTTGCTACTGAACCTAAAAAAAGACGAGCACCTAAAGGTACAGTCAATTTTAAATCACTTACACCAAAAACAGATGCATGTTCTTCGGGTTGTTTTGTTGTATGATAATCGAGATTGACACTATTTATACAGCAGAGGTCGCTGTTACCCTTCCTGTGAAACGATTGGCTAATTTATACTGAAGCACTTTGGCCCGTTGTCAGGTTATTCTTTGTCGATTTTAACTGTTGAGACTAGAAGCACTATGGGAATGATTATTCGAGTACTTTTTGATTCTACCTAGTATTTACTACAATGGTATGTGTTAAGAATAGGGCAAAGGACTACATTTTAACCTTTATTATTGACAAAGTATTTATGAACCTATTCATGTTTTTTAAATGAACCTTTAAATCAATAGTAAATGAAAACACATCATTGACAATGATAGTGAATTATTTGTCATTGTGACACAGCACACACAATGAAATGTGACCTCTGCTTTTACCCCATCACCAAAGTGAGCAGGGTGTAGTGTATGGGGATGGTGCCATGCTCAGAGCTACTTGGCAGCTTTTTAACATTTAACATTTTAAATGAGCCTTAATTTTACTCCCCTCGTTTAAACATTGTTGATGTGAGTTTATTGTTGAGAAGTCAATGTCTATGATTTTATTTGCCTTTTCTCTGATTTTTTTTGTACGTTTCAGTAGTCAAGTGTATTTGTAAGAAGAGCTTAACAAACATGCTGTTTAAAAAAATAAAATAAAATCACATAATTACTCTGAGTAATGTTAAACAGCTATACTAGAAAACAAAACCAAATAGTGTCACTAAGATCTATAGGATTTAGATTTTAGATTTAAGAAGATTGCAGCTTTTTGTCTGACCTAACAGTTAAACCAATCAACACTTTCTAAAATAAACCCTTCAGTCCATATTAATTGATTAGTTATGTCATGAGTTGAAATTATACACATGTTTTGCATGCGTTATTATTATGTTCAAAGTGGTCGCAGTTAGCACAGTAGAATCATTGGGGAAAATATCAGCCTGCATGCTGGAGAATTCTATAAATTATATAAAAGATAATTGCGTCAATTTCTCGTCCACCTCCATTAAATTCCTAAGACTTCTAGGTCCTGGTGGTAGAGTCAGGAAACTTGGTGTTTGAAGTTCCTTGTGGTGAAGTTAAAAATTATTTTCATCAGAGTTTTCATTACGTTCTCTCCATGTGTCTTTTGATCTCAGCATGTCTCTACTTTGCTCTTATCCCCTCTTAGCAGATGGTTTGCGGCACACGGAAGGCAAATCTGTCTTAGCAGTGGCCAAATCTAATGAAACAATGAGGAAATTCCTTCATGTTTGGGATGAAGCTTCTGGACAGACCATGTTTGAAGCAGCTCATGCTAGGCTTTTATTTCGTGCACCTTTTTCTGCCATTCTTTCATCCAGTAGCTGCACAAACACACATCACATGTCTCTCCTCTCCAGGTTTATACCCTGCTTTGTGTACATGGACGGAGGAGCAGCAGAGGGCCGCAGCTGAAACACAGTGACAAGAATAATATTGCTTTCTCAGCAGGGAGAAAGAGGATTAGGTCGCTGCAAATATAGGGCCTTGCTGAATCTTGACGAGGCGATTGTATGAAGGCCGTGCAATCTCACACTTACTGATGGAGAGGATTTCTGTGAAGTAGTTGGAAGAGGAGCCAGTTCTCACCCCAAATCAACAGAACTGTGCTTGAAATGTTGACAGATGAAAAACAGGAGGAAGCTTTATTGTAATTCTTCTTGTGTTTTTTTACACAGGCACTTCACTAATGACATCCCCCAGTGTCTGCAGCACACACAAGCATAGCATTTCATTTTTACCTCCCAAGGAATCCTATTTTTAGCCTTGGAGGCAGGTAGTAGGTGCAGGATAACTGGCAAACCATAACTAAACTCTTCATTTCCAATTGAAAAATGAAAAATTATCCACTGCGAAAAATACTTGAAGAACTGCAGTTTGGTTCTGGAGGTTATCAGTGTATCCTCCCTTTAAAGCTGGATTTTCATTCCTGCAGTGTACTTCCTTTAAATCCTGTTCTGTCACTAGTACCTGGGCTGCAGGAGACATGTTTGCCCTGGCAACGAAAAAAAAAAAAAACTCAACCCATGAGATGAGACGTGGGGAGGGGAAATAACAGTGTTGCAACAAAAAAAAACTTTGTTACAAGGTGACATTAACAGGGCAACTTGTGCATTGATTGTAGTTAAGCCTAGGGTTTTGTTAGAGTGTTAACATCTATGTTATCTGTCAGATCAAAGACTCGCTACTTCCTGCAGAACGAGGCTTTTCTTTTACTCTGACGTTAAATAAATAATAAAAAAAGATTAATTAGACTTACTCTTAATAATCTGTCTGCTTGAGCTTTTTCTAACAAGCTGGGATTTAACAGTGTGTGGGGGGATTTGTCCTAAATTTAGTCTGGATGTTAGTTTAAATGTCACATCTCTATTAACTTGTCACATCAGAGACTTAGAAATTACTTGGAAAGGCTGAGGATACGCCGAGGATCAATTGTGCACAGTGGAGGTCAAAATCACTGAAAAGACATTTTTAATTATTCAAATGTGCTTTGGGGCAGTGGTGGATTAGTGGTTAAGGAAGCAGACTTGGGTCCGGAAGGCTTCAGGTTTGAGTCCACCAGCTGCCAAGTTACCACTGAGGTGCTCTGAGCAAGGCACCGTCCCCACACACTGCTTTCTGGGCAGCTTAAAGCTGCCCACTGTTCACTTTGGTGATGGGTTAAAAGCAGAGGTCACATTTGGTTGTGTGCTGTGTCATAATGACAAGTAGTTCACTTTCCTTTCCTACAATTCAAACTAAGTTTTACCACAGCATTTTTGAGCTTTATTTAGGAGATGTGTTTTCTTTGACATGACATTAGAAACAAAATCATTTCACAAACAGGGAAACATTCTATATAATATAAACAGATAAAGCAGTTTTTGACATATGCCTTCTCTTGTTAATCACTCAGCTCAAGCATTGTGTGTGTGTGTGTGTGTGTGTATGTACTGTATAGGTATGTATATATTCACATATATAGTAAATGTTGTATATATTCCTACCTTGATTTCTCAAGGGCAGTTGCCATTTTTCACCAATTAACACAATTAACCATAATTCATTTTGACAGGTTTTTCCAAGCAAAAATAGTAATAAAAATAACGAATGTGAAAGTTTTTCTCAGTTTTGTTTTTTTTCTTATGTTTTTGTATTAACAGCTCCAGAACTTCCTATAGTCGAAAGAAGAAACTGGCTCATCCACCAACACTACATCCGCAAAGACTATGAAACTTGTAAGGTAAATGATCCTTGTTTAATATTATTAGTTTCTTACAGCAAATTATCCAGCAAATAAATCCACATCTGAGCTATGTGCTGAATATTCCCATAAACATCTCATGCATAGTTTATTTTTTATTCTTTTCTTTTTTTTTATGACCTCTAATTACTGACAGTCTGCTGCTCTTTGTTCCTGTAGGTGTTTATCAAAGAACAGCTACAGGAGACTAATGGAATGTGTGAATACGCCATATATGTTCAAGGTGAGCTGACATTTTCACTTTAACAGTTTTATCAAATGTGTGATGTTAACTAACAGCTACATCATATGCTTTAATGTCTGTGTGGTCTGTGCCTTTGATTAAGTTAAATCAGTTTTCTTTAAATGTATTTTGCTGTTTATGCAGCATTAATCTTGCGTCTGGAGGGAAAGATCCAACAGTCCCTGGAGCTGTTCCAGAGCTGTGCCATCCTCAATCCCAGCAGCACTGACAATCTGAAGCAAGTGGCTCGATCCTTGTGAGTGTGCAGCTCTGTATCAACGTTTCTCGTTGTTTGTTGTCAAGACAGAGAGACTTTAAGGACAAATTATCAGTGATAACATGGAGGCTGTGAGCCTGTAATGAAAAGCAATTTTTAAAGTTGGGGGAAAAAAATTAACCCAACTGAGTCTGAAGTTTCAGCAGTATTAGGATCCTTATAAAAATCCTTGCAGCCCTTGGATTGTATTTGTTTGTTCTTTCTCTAGATTTCTCCTGGGGAAACACAAAGCAGCCGTTGAATTCTATCACGAAGCTGCAAGACTCAGTGAAAAAGACTGGGTAAATAAAAAAAAACAAACACTGGCTTTTAAGTCTGTAAACTCTCCAAGTAATTCAGTCTAAATAATTTGAATATCCTTTATCTCAACACTCTTACCCAGTATTACGACTGGAAATGCATGTGTCTTTGCTTTGGGTTTTAAAATAATGTGAAGAATATTAGACTGACATATAAAAAATTATATTTTGTCACCTCAGGAGATTAATCATAATCTGGGAGTTTGCTGTTTCTTCATCAAAAACTTTAAACATGTGAGTATTGCTTTCTTAACCCATATTACATTGTATATTAGGATGTACTCATTCCAGTGTGTCTGATGATGTATTATTTATCCTCGGTTTTGTCAGGCAGAGGAGCACCTTAACACTGCCCTGCAGATAAATAAACACCACAAAACCTTCATGATGCTTGGAAAAGTCCATCTACTGACTGGAGACACTGACAAGGCCATCGACGTGTATAAGAGAGCAGTGGAGTGAGTACTCACTAAACACCTGTCTTATATTTTTTACACATTTCTTTATACATTTCTGTGTTTACGTCTGCATCACACAGATTCATGAACTTACAAAAACATTTTCCTTCTAGAGGTTATGTAAATCACACATTCACAGTGGATAAATAATTTTGACAATGATAATAGAATGCACCCAAACAGAAATGTTGAACGCTTCATTGGTTTTTTTACCAGATCAGAAAGAAAAACTGTTTATAATAAAAGAATAGACGTGATGAATGCAAATTAAAGTCACTAACAATGTAGTAATTTAGAAAACCTTCACTGTGAATTTGTATCATTTTTTGTAACTAAATAGATAAATGAAGAGGTTATGGTAATGTAGCTCTGACTGGGCTGTGTAAGTGTGGTCATTGTGAAGTAATTTTAAATTCTGGTATCTATTCTACTCAAAATTTCCTGTTTAATTTTAAATAACAACACAAGTCTTATTCATGTTTTGTAAATTCTTCCCCTTTTTTAAAAAAATAAAAAAACTTCTCAAGGTCTCAAAACATACTTAGAATAAAATAAAAGAGACAGTCCTGGTCCCTGAAGGCAGCACAGGCTGCTGAAACAACAACAATGCAGTATTTAACAAACCTTTTTACCTAGTCTTTTTATGATTTAGTTTTCCTCCATGTCTCCTTTGAGGCTCTGGAAACTGAAGGCCAGCATATGTTCTCAATCAAACTTGGACAGGAACAGCCTCCGTGAGAGAGATTTATCCAGAAAATTTCCCTCTAAATTTAGTTAAATCCAGAGTGGCAGGTCGCCCCAAGACTATAGTTTTTGTATTTTTGCCTCTTTAAATTAAATAATTCTAAAATGTGTATCTTACGAAATAAAGTATTAGGAATATCTAATAGTTACTTGAGAATTGAATTGGGCGTCACTGTCAAGTACTCTTCTTCCTCTCCCCACCAGAAACATTGTCTATATCAGCCAGTGTAGACAAATGCTGACGATGAACACTCTCCCTTACCCTCCCTTATCCCCGATACCCCAGATCCTCATCCGTTCAATGAGAATAGATGTGCAGGTTTTACAGTGTTTTAAATAAAGTTCAGTTGAGATTTTAGGCAAAAGGTGGGGAAGAGCTGACCTGGGGACACTTCATAATAGTCCTATCTACAAAAAATGTCAGAAAATACTGGTTTAATATGTATTCATATTCATTAATCTGTATTCATTAATGTCAAAGTTGAAGTTAGAAGTTGACACAAGCAGTGCCTTGTTCTTGGACAATATGAATACATGTGTACTTTCACTACTTTCTGCTGTCCACACACTTGTGGAACAAGAATTTATTGTGAATACTTGTCTTTTTGACAGGACCTTTCAAAGATGCAGTTCAATGAAAGATAAATGTCTCTGCTCTTCAGCCTGACTCAGATCTTTTACTTGGCTCTGTTTTAGCTCAGGCTTTTTTTCTTCCTTTTTCACTCACGTTCACATGCTGAATATTTAAACATGAGCCAGCGGAGTAAATAAGGGAATGAAACCCATGTCTATAATAAAGCTCATTACGTCTCCTGCCTCCTGTTGGGTATAAATATATTAATCAAGAGCCAATGCTCATGTTGCCTCTAATGAGACGAACCACTGTGAGCCTTATTTTGAAGCTCGTCACTTCTCCTTATTCTCTTTATTTTTCTTTGAGTCATAATGTTCCCGCAGGTTATAATTAATGCTCCAAAATTAGGCTGAATCAAAGTCTGATTGGATAATCAGCAGACTCCCAGAATATCAACTATGTTTACTTTAGGACAAGTGCAGGAAATAAATGTGATT